ATACGGTTCATTTCTGACAAAACGCATCCAACATATTTTTAACCAGTTTATTGATTCTCCATCAGAATTCTTTACCCTTTTAAAAATTGCGTCTTCGAATAATTTTGTTGATACAAAACTTCTTGTCTCATTTCATTTACAATAAAATTATTACCTTTCCGACATTTTTTAATAATCTTGTAATAATCTCGGGGAACGAACAGTAAATTATTTTTTTTTAATGACATTTCTACCACGCCAAAATCTCTATCATTTGGTAAAAACGAATGTCCTGATATTAAAAATTTGTGATCTATGATTTCCACATTATTTTCCAAAGTTTGGACAATTTTTAACCACATTAAAGCTACTTTAATGTCTCTATTTTGCCCGGCGCACATGTCACTGTAAGCTATAATGTGTCTTTCACTTCTTGAACAATTTCTTGAGCACCTCTGGATGCAATAGTTTCATCCCAAACGTACATGTAAACATTAAATATCTTGATTTAAGTATAAATGGAGTTAGGCCACTTTCAAACTACACGGTTCAATTATTGAACTAACTCTGAAAACTTATGTGTCAAGAATTATCGTATTTGCTTGGAATATAAGCAACCTGAAATGCTTTACTGATAAATATCATGAAGTTGTACATGTAACCATGGTAACCGGAAAAAATTGAAAAATGGAGTTAGGCCACTTTCAAAATAAACGGCTCATATACAGGGTGTTCGGCCACCTCTAGCAAAAATTTTAATGAGCGATAGTAGAGGCCAAAATAAGACGAAAATCAAGAATACCAATTTGTTGATGGAAGCTTCGTTAAAAAGTTATTAACGTTTAAAGTGCCGCCCTTACTGAATTTTTTTCTCGAAAATGCGCAAGATTTCGGGGGTATGTCTATTCACCAAAAATGACTGTAATTGAACCCTACAACCGAAAATAATTTTTCCACAACGATTTGCAATTTTTTAATTTTCTCGAATAATTTCACACCTTCTCTATTTTTTTTCTCGAAAGTGGGCAGGATTTCGTGGGTATGTCTGATGACAAAAACTGATTGTAATTGACCCCCGCAACCGAAAATAATTTTTCCACAACGATTTGCAAATTTTTTTCTCCGTTGAAAAATTTAGGCACCTGATTGGATTTTCAGTAAGGAATTTTTTTCTCGAAAGTGCGTACGATTTCGGAGGTATGTGTAATGATAAAAAATGATTGTAATTGATCCCCGCAACCGAAAATAATTTTTTTAGAACGATTTGAAAATTTTTTTTTCGCCGAAAAATTTCACCACCTACTCGATTTTTTTTCTCGAAAGTAGATAGGATTTCGGAGGTATGTGTACTCACCAAAAATGATTGTAGTTGACCCCCGCAACCGAAAATAATTTTTCCAGAACGATTTGAAATTTTTGAATTTAATTGTTAATAACTTTTTAACGAAGCTTCCACCAACAAATTAGTATTCTTGATTTTCGTCTTATTTTGGCCTCTACTATCGCTCATTAAAATTTTTGCTAGAGGTGGCCGAACACCCTGTATAGATGTATATCACTATAGCCATCTAAGTAAAAAGTAATGGATTCCTTTTTCCCCAACCTAATATTTCATTGAACGATATTTTTATTTTTAACGGGTTGAAAAAATTGATTCTCGAGATCAGACGTTAAAGAAACCAAATCTAGTAAAAATAAAGTTCCCAAAAATCAAAGTTTCATAGACAATTGGATTAGTATAGAAGTCATACGCGTTGAGGGGTAAATTCATGCTTTTCTCGTGCTAATTTTTTCCCATGGTCCAAATAAATACGAATGTTTGATAATCCGCGTAGAGAGAACATCGTACACCACTTAACTATCAATTTACATGTATGGGCTGTGCGTCATGCGCATCGGTCGTAAGTTTGGAACGTGTTCGTACGATCGCGTTTAACAATTTCGTGTATTCCCATGGGATAGTAAATAACCAAACGCGCGTACGTATGCTCGCGTACGCAAACGCGAATCTCCGTGTAGTCACGTTTGCAATTTACCATCGAGTTTTAGAACAAGAATGGAACCGTTTGAGAAACCGCCGCGGCGCGATATCGGAAATTTCACACATTTCGTACCGTTGCGAAATCGACGTGTGATTGGCACGGACAACTACCACGATCATAACGCAAAGTCAAAGTCTCTTATTACGCAAGGGTATTGCATATTTACGCCGGATCATCCCGCTAGTAATTTCTTTTCTAAGGTCTGGTTTATGCAGAATACGTAACTGCATATTTAATAACATCTGGCTCGCTGCAGTGTCACTTACGTTCTCCTAATCTAAACTTCACAACTTCCTACCGACAGTCCTTCATACCGGCACCAGCTTCTTCGTACGATTTTTATAAAAATTCGTTTGCATCGTGTATTTGTAAAATTCTAAAATTAACTAAAATTGTTACTTGACATTCCTTTTGCAGTCTCCAGCGTTTGAAATATTCACGATTTACTTTTTACAGAAAAAAGAAATAAAAAAAATACGCAGATGTTTATTGAATTTAAAAAATTACCTGAAAGACGAATGGTGACGATTTTTAGACGCAAAATTCAGCTGAAGAAAAGCGAAATTGATTATGGAACGATTGTGATACGACGGTAATACGTTTCTACCAACGGTTACAGGAAATTTCTAACACAATTACGACTTAATGTTCCTCCGGTGTGCAAACGTTGGTCGCAGGTTGCGCAACTTCTTTTCTCGCGGAAACTTTTCGCCGGCGCACGACATTCATCGGTTTTGCACAAGCGAAGTCTAAATGCGCACTTCAATTCGCGGTTAACTTCAAAGCATATTCGAATAAAAGAAATTAAGAGCCATACAACTGCGTAATTAAAATTTCCAAGTGCTATTCACTGCGTTAACAAGCCAACCGATTCACCGCGGGGAATAAAAACGCAGTTTCGTTTTGCGTCGAAAACGAATGTACAATTTAAATTTCCATAACAATTTTTTAATAATAACTTGAAGCAGCACGGACAAAGGTAAAGTATAATTGGATACCAACGTTTTAGCCGTCGCTGGAAAGTCGCGAGCCCAAAATACCATCTAAATGTTTCGCTTAACAGAATGTCGCGGCAGGGACGGGGGAGCTTTGAGCGTCGTCTTTTCTTTATTAAACCAACGTTGGGGAATCTAAGGCGAAAGGAAGTTACGCAGCACGCGCTAAAGAATAAAATACCTATTTAAATATAATTTATTTCCAGAAATGTCCTTTTTATTCCTGCGTTTATAAATTCAATGCGTTGTTTCATCATGTCTCGATGGAATCAAACATATCGAACAAAGTTACTAATTTTGATTTTCTCTGTTTCGTAGAGCCACGTGAAACATTCTAAATAAATATACATCCAAAACGCAACTGGTATTTGATACTGTTTGCATCTCATAACGAGATGCTTGTTCATTCGACGTTAATTCGTGAAGTTAACAAACACGAGTATGACGAATAATATAAAACAAGTGAAATCCCAGATTAAACGCGAACGAGGTTATTGCCTCCTTTATTTTTCCGCATTATTTTCCTTCCCCGTGATGCGAACGGATGGAGGGGATTCATAAGTCGTTTACCGAGGGTTGAAATCGTGAAACTTGGATCTCCACGGAGACAGGGCAGAACGACGAAGACTATTTACAGAGAACCAATTGTGAGAAACGACATTATTTAAAGTTACATCCCGCGTTCATGTTGCTATAGCAGCTTCTTGTCAGCATTTCTCCGCCGTCTCTCAGCTTCCGTTCTTGACCGACTTAACAGCGTTCCCGAGTTGAACGTTCATGAAAACGCGACGACTCCGAAGAACGACCGTATCGCTATGCTTCCCTGGGGGTCGTAGTCTGTCGGTCAGAACGGCCCCGGAATTAACATAATTTCGTGTTTTATAAGCGCCACTCCTTGGCAGTTCGCTTTGAAAGGGGTCGTGGTAAAGAAAGGAAGGACAAAGGACGCTCGTGACCAAATCCGTCCAAACGCTCGACGGAGGAATCTCTTTCATTTTGGAATACAAACTTCCTCCATCTTGACGCGGGCCATAAATATCTCAATACCGAGAGATGGTATAAATTTCTCATGGAATCGATAGGTCCCGAAATAAATCAGATAATTAACTTTTAAAGAAATCGAATTACTCGAGGGGCTATTCGGACCTACGAAAGTCCATCTATTTTCATTTCGAAAACACGAAAGGATTTCTATCATTTTTTTATTCATGAAGTCTTAAGTAATTGAAAAAAGCATTTTCACATTTTGTGTCGTCTCAGTTTTCGTTCACGATTTTTTCAATTTTCACAAAAGAAGCTTTCGAGGAACCTCGCCTAATCAAGTACAGTTAAAACGCGACGCCCGAGTATATTCAGGGTGTCTATTGTATTCAGAATCATCGGAAATCTCGAGGAACTAACCGCCAGCTTAAATTGGACACGAGCCGTCTCAAAGGAGTCCAATTTAACGCGACGCGAACTAACGACGAAGCAAACGGAACGACCGTTAAAGGAAAAGGATCAAACCGAGAAAAACACGCAATTTAATTAACAGGATCGTGAACTTTCTGCTGGTAATTAAAAACTTACACGACGAGATATGGTTGCGGGAAATATAACACTCCGTGAGAGAATTACTCTACGACTTCGACGTTCCTTTTTATTGAACGGCCTGGCCCGCGGACGTTTACATAACTCGGCCTTCGTTTCCTGGAAATTTGCGGGAAGTATTATTTGCGCATACGAATGGGAAGCTGCGCATGAAATGGCACGACTTAAACGAATTTCTGATGTATATACTGCAAACAGAAGATGGTGCACCACCTGTACATCCGACCGTTTCTGCTCCTCCGTAATCAGCTTCCGTTCGACTAATCACGATACGAATAGGATACATTTTCGAGATATAATAAATTTTCTTTCTTCTACGAGTTTTCGATAAATAATAATCGTATTATCCGTGAATGGGGAAGTTTATAAATAATTGAAAATGTTAAAAAAGAACCTGTTCTGCTCGTATCCGTCATCGCAGCTGAAAAAGAAAAAAGATTATATGTAAAAATAAAAAAATAATAATAAATGCGAAAGGCAAGTAATAAATATTATACATATAAGTCTATATAAATAATTTTTGGGCAATTTCGACTTAGATATTTAAATGCACTGACTCGATTAAACCGATCTGTTTCTCACATGTCAGAGGACTATTTGTTGATAAACAATTATGAATGAAGCTTGGTTGTTTTCTATAGCGTCGTGGGGAAACGACTGGAGGGAACCCGATGAAATTTAGAATGCATCTCTAAAGTAAACCAACTTGAAATATCAGCCATGGAACATCCCCTAACTTCTGCTGAAAGGGGGTGTTGTCGAGGACATCAAGTATAAAATGTATGATATCTCGTTTACACTTGCTTTCACAGTGAAAGCATTCAAGACGTAATTTGTTGGATATTAAATTTAAAAACTGACGAACCTTCAAGAAAAAGCACGGTAAAAATTTATTTAAACACGACTTATGAAATAACCTAATACGAAGCATTGTTAAAAATTGTTAAAAATATGTAGTAAAAGTTACTTTTGTTTTGTGTGGTTGGCTACATTACTGTATGTCCCCTTTCTTATGTTTTTCGGTTGTCGGTGGTCGAGTGTGTGTGTGTGTTCCCACGAAGATGATACAATGTGTGTCGAATTATTACAGTCTTTTTGTTTGTTACCTTCCTTTTCTTTTTTAAATTAATAATCAAATATTGAACAAATTCAGTTTATTTTCTTTAATTCTAACAAAAATCAATATGTTATAAAAATGTGAATAAATTACGAAAGGAAAACGTGGCATTTAATTTTAATTCTGGACATTAAAATTACTAATATCGCGTCGTTCTTTGTCCCTTTTGGAATCGTTGGACGACGTTATAATATCCTAGGATTTTTGGTTTCTTTGTGTTCCGATATGACGAGCTCGCACTACTCAGACATCAAAGTTTTAATTAGAAGGGGAGTTCTCACGCGGTCGCGATTAAACAGTCTCGACTCGTTCATCTTTTTTTTATGTTTTTTTTTTTTTATTTTTTTTTCCTACGTTTCAGACCTTTTCTCGCTTCGTCGACACCGATTCTCTCGCGGGCCGCGATTTAATTTAACTTGCAATAAGGAGTTCGAAATTCGCGAGCAGCGAAAACGTATCGACCGGGTTTCATCGCCGGGCAAATAATCCTCCAGCGGCTTCTGGACCAATTATTTGTTTCGTATTTCCCAGTTGGGATCACTCTTCATCGATCTTGCTGGAATTCGGTCGCGTTGCTTCGAATATTGTCACGAGCGACGAGACGGGGCAAGAATTTATTCGTTTTCTCTTTTTTTTTTTTTTTTTTTCGATCCGAGCCCCGCAATTCCGTTTCGCCCCTTAATTGGGAAACACTCCCCGCGATCTACGAGTAATTAGGGATTTCTAAGCATCGCGGTATCCCTTAATTAAGCCATAACAACGACGGGAAACCGGTTTCGCGCAGCCCTCGCGAACCGTTCTTCGACGTCCGTGCATTTCCTATTTTTCTTCTGCTTCTACCGTGCTCTCGTTTGCTCTGCTCTTCCAACCCCCTTTCCATCACCGATGCTCCCGCGCTGTTCTTCATTCTCTCCAACTTTCACTCATTCCCCCTTTGTTCTTTTGCTCATCGTTAACACCCGGTTTCGTTCCATTACGACTTCCAGACGTTCAGCGACGTCACGGTTGGCGGTAATGGGTCTTGTTCTTTGGTCACATTAAGACAGAGGCGCTCAGGGTTCACGACCTTTCGTCCCAACTTTCTAAAACGTACCTAACGCTGGGATCTGTCAATACAATGGAGCACCAAAGGTACCACACGACGATTACAATACGAGAAGTTCTAGTCCCAATTTCTTTCTTTTTCTTCTTATTATTAATACTGTCTAAAGCAGCATAAGCAACAACTGCAAATCAAGAAACTCAACTCGGTTGTTACTCGATAATTAAGCGAATAGCACGTCTTTGCGTTGAAAGTTGTTCCGTGCAGCAGAAAATAGAAGACTGAATATAACTGTCAAGAGAAAATTCCTGCCCCGGTTGCCTTTGACAGATGGAGGGAGTATTCCAAAGTAAAAATTACAGCGAAAACCGGAACGAGAACAGTACAGAGAAGGAAAATGTTTTACATTCGAGAAGTTGGAAATGAAAGAAGAACGCGAAGAGGAGGGAACAGTAGTACCCGGAAAAGAGACTAGCAATAATTTGTAATTAAAATTATTAAGAATAATAGAATTAGTAGGCTCGTATTTTCCTCGATACAAGGCGATAACTTTTGACCCGAGATACACCGAGATCTCGACTCCGCTGTCGTTCCAGTCACGAGTCAGCGAAATCTGATTCACGCATCGGAATATTATGTCTTCTGAACTAGTGTTTAACGTGTTGGCAACGTTCAATGCCGCGAATATTAACGACAAAACCCGGCATTACGATTCTCGATACGGGCTTCCAAGTTCCGCGATGGAGCACTGTACGTTAGCGACTGCATACTTGTTTCTTCTCGCTTCTGCGCTGACCGGAAACTTCGGCTGCAACGTGATTGCACTATGAACTTCGCATAAAGGCAGCGAAACGGTTAATAATGGAAGTGTGTCAGACGTGCCCGCGAAAATGGGTCACATTTCTATGCTATTTCAATATTTAAATCCTTTCTACCGCCGTGTCCGTGTACACACGCCCTCGTCCCGCTCGTAAGTCACTCATGAGTCTTCCGCGATCGATCATCCAGAACTTCCTTCCCGTTTGAGGCTCTGGTTTCACCGTTATATCGAGTGGTTTATTGCAGGTTCAGAGTTTCTAATGTCGCCATAAGCGTTCCGTAGAATTACCATCGACCGAGAATCGTCAGAGACGCTATCGATTTCCGAAGCGAAATATTTATTCCATCTCGAGGTTCCGTGACTCGAAAGACATTTCGACGAAAAAATCGTGCCACCACGGAGACGCAATATTTAATAAATTTCTATTCCACTCCGAGACATGTATTGTTAAGCGAATTTTTGAAATTTCTTTATATGGTCGCGATATAAATAATCCCATGAATTCTAAGGATCCAAAATTTCCCTTCGAGGAGGTACGGGTACCGGTTCTCGTAAGTACGTCATACGAGATCCTTTTTATTCGTATTTCTGTGATCGAAATTCTATTTCCGTCCTAGCCTGCATCTTATACGGTCAATAGAGATCCTTTCCCCGTTTCGAGATAAGAGCGGTACAGGAAATCGCCCAAGGAGACCGCTTTAAGCCAAAAATGATCCGCAAGATAAGTGGCTACTCCAACTTTGATATCGTGCTCGATGCCATTATGAATATTGTGGAATATCGTACGTGTTCTCGAAATTTCACTACAATAAAAAATAAGGGCCTCGTGTATCCGTTACGTAACAGTAAGAGTAATATTATGACTATTTTTAAACATCATTGATCTAAATATGAAAATTGTATTAACGAAATAAGAATCGTACGAGTCATCAAACACTCGTAACTCTCACAATAATGCTTATACACTCCCAGTGCCAGTATCGTATCCACAGTTCCGCTGGATGTGTAATCCGTCAATTCAGAAACGCGATCACGTCGTAATAACAACGTACTAAGGAGCGAAGCACGAGTGTCACGTCCCCGGAAGGGAACCCAGGTCGTCCCAGTGGACGTTCGTTGTTTGGAATTCTGCTTCGACTGTCATCAACCGTGTCCTTAGGTCGGTTTTATAGGAGTATAGAGAAAATTGACCAAAGGGGGAAAGAAAGAAGTACGTTTCGAGCGATCAAGCAGATTAACAATCTTAGAATAGCGTTTCCTAATTCCATGAAAATCTTTGAGTGGACCTTGCATATTATAGATCGTTTCTAAAACATATATCTCGTCCAAAACAAACGAAAAACGAGACGTTTAAAAGTTCAGAAAGCATGTTTACTGCCGCGAAGACGGTGCACCCCCACGATCAGGAAAGCTCGTGCATCCAGAAAGGTGGTTTCAGATAACCGGGAGAGAAATTATATTATATTCATGTAGATTTTTACGCCTTGGGGGACGCAGCGAAACACGGACAAAAATTGCATCTCTCTTATGTACATTCCGTAGGAGAAAAAATAGCAGCGAGCAAAGAATCAACGTAATTGCGTGCAGGTGGCAGATAAACCGAGATGTTTCAGGAATTCGTCGGATCTCGAGTTCAATTTATCTGACATTCAAAGCGCCGTGCGTTACTCAACAATACGTTTGCCGTGCTGTACTTCAATCAATGGAATTAAACGGACTACGAAACACCCGTGAACTCCGCTTCAAAAATTGTTGCTCCCGGTACATCCCTCTTTTTCCCTTTTTCGTTCCATCTATCGCTAACTACGCTGCAACAATGTACTGAACAAATATTTTCAACGTTCAACGTTTCCAGTATGTACGACTCAGGAGTGGATTTGGATGAAATTTCAATTTCGAGCTTTTGGATCGGAACGGGGCTGTTGAAAGCTACCTGAAAGGCTGTACGATGTATGTATATTGTACTTTTCCCAGTTTCGATTTCTTGTGTAAGAATATTTACATTAACACGTGTCGGAAGCGGTATATCGCTTTCGGGCCTTTAGTCGGCAGTTGGCTTTCGAGTCGCCTAAATCCGAAATCCTACCCATTTTCGAGAAAAAAATTCGAGTAGGTACTGACATTTTTGGACGAAATTAAAAAATTTCAAATCATACTAAAAAAATTATATGAAGTTGCCGGAGTCAATTACAAGCATTTTTGGTGAATAGACCTACCTCCGAAATCCTACCCATATTCCAGAAAAAACATTCGAGAAGGTGTGAAATTTTTCGACGAAATTAAAAAATTTCAAATCATACTAAAAAAATTATATGAAGTTGCAGGGGTCAATTACAAGCATTTTTGGCGAATAGATATACCCTCGAAATCCTACCCACTTTCTAGAAAAAAATTTGAGAATGTGTGAAATTTTTCGACGGAAAAAAAAATTTCAAATCGTTC